CTGTATAAAAAGTCATGAAATCAAACTATCATCGTAAACTGTCAAATGAGACCAAACTTGGATAGGAGCAAGTGTTGTAACATCATTCTTTTGTTGGGCAGGTTCTTTTAATTATTTGGTGAAAACAATGAGAAGTCCATTCCATTTAACAAATTAATGTATTTCTTTCTTAACCTACAGGCTACTATCACTTGTACACAGTTGTACTTGTAGGCCTAAGTGAACAAATAACACTGATCCAAATACTTCACTGAATGACTGGCACTTTAACTAAAAATGTTGGGTTTCACTGATTTTTAAACAGTGCAAATAACCAAAATTTACACACCTTTGGATTCCACAGTCATAAATTAGTAGATTTACACTACAATTTCATTTAAGTATTTAACAATTAATAATTGTACCTGTAAATTGACCTTTTGCACCACACAACCATCTCATTGAAACAATGTTATCAAAATGTCAGTGATTAACATAAAATTATTTCCTTACCTGATAACCTGAGACACTGCATGAAACCCATGACAAGGCAACATAAAATGTAGTAATATTGAAAACCCATAAGCAGGAATTCATATTATGTTGTTAAAGAAATGAAAATTGTCTACAACCTAATGTTAAAAAATGAAGTACAAACTTACATACGCACCTATGAAAGTAAAGGAGATGTTGGATTTTCATTGGTTTTAAAGTAAATTAAACTATGATATGATGTAAAGCAGACTGTTGCCAACCAACATACCATGTGTTTACAATTTCAATTCATCATTTTTGGAGATGCTGTCAGTGGTATATATCGGTTAATGCATTATGTAATACGGACTACAGAGTTTATTGTATGACTTTCTTTCAAAAAATTCAATGACTAAAAAAAATATTTATTAATGGGTTTAAAATTTTGTTTGTGCATTTTCAAAAAGAAAATGCTTCTAGAAACCCACTCAGATCAATGCAGTGTATGAAGAGAGCTATCATTTGATGTATCACTGGCCCTTACTGGTTTAGCAACATCTCGCTGACACTATGTTTTTGGTTCCAACATTTGCTCACTAGTTGCCACCTTATAACAGTGGAAAGATTTAGGAATCATCACAATTTTATTATAGCCAATTTACTACTAGTGGTAGTACAGCTGCCTTGAAATAAACTGTACAAATGCAGCGTATAATAGTACTGTAGACTTTTTATTTGTTTGTTAACGTACAATAATTTAGTATTTTGTTTATGGGTAATTTATATATATATGCAACTGTAACTTTGCATTCACACACTTCTGTGGCTGGGAACTATAAATCTTTGGGACTCCCTACTAAAAAACTGACTTAATGCTACACTGATCCTTGTATTTATAATGTATCCTTGTTTCCAGAGAATTCATAAAGTATTTTTATCACAAATATTCTAGGATTAATCTTTTTTATAAAGTTACTTGATCTTAATATCATGCATCCTCTAACTAACATCTAAATTGAAATATTGAAAATATAGTTTATAACAATAAATTTCCACAAAATAGTAAAAAATATGTCAGAAGTATTAAGTAATTAATGTTATGCATATTATTATTAAGCAACTTGACTTACCACTACATTCATTCTCAGCAATTTCTAATGTTACTTTAGGCTGTCCAATATTTGAAAAAGTTGCCAAGAATGTTTGAGTCACACCGCCTCCACATTACAACTCAATGATAACAGACTTTTGTACAATGATTACACTTATTCTCCAAATATGCACAAATGGTGATTACAGCTGGACTCTAGATGATGCTGAAGCCCCAGTTATAAGATGCTTTGCAGCTTTTATTACTCAAACTTCATCTAAATCTTAAACATTTCCATAAAATTTTGAGTCTTGTTGTTTTTTCTTTCCAATTAATAAAAGTGCTATATTAAAGATTCTTTTCTTTGAATTCGCTAAAAAACCTAAAATGCATAAATACTTTGTGGTACACCACAGGATATCTTAAATCCTCAAGATATGCATGTCATTCCTTGGTTTTGAGCTCATTATGTTTTAACTGTAATTTTAAAATAATTTAGCTTGGCTACTGTAGTACTGACCTCAAATTTCATGAACATAATTTTATCCAAATTATTTCTATTCATTAACACAAGGCAATGGAACATTAAATTACGTGTTACATGAGTTGCCTCTCACAAAATGTTCAAGTGAAGCTATTACTTACAAATAATGAAATTAAAATATACTTAATGAAAAACTATATGCTGTCAAATATTTTACATATCAGTTATCATTTATATGTTATTAACAGTGATACTGTTAATTAAAGAACAAAGAGATAAAATCTTTCATTTGAGAATTACGAATATGACATAAGACTTAAGTAAATTCTGATCTTAGCTCTTTCTGTATTTCTTTTAAGTTTAACCGAAATTTTTAACTGTGCAATATCGTAATACGAGCCTGAACGTTTTTATACTAAATTATAGTACTAGCGTTTAGTTCAACTAAATTATCATAATCTGTAGAACCTATTAGTAAGCTTCATGTTAAACAATCACAATCTGTTTTTTGGTGATGATTTGACCAATTACAACAGTAGGGATTTAAGAGCACGTGGTGTGGTCAATGAGAAAAGGGTCGAGGTTAACAATAATACTAGTCTAGATATCGAAGAACCACGGTGTGAGGCTAAGGAGCACTATTCGCCATGTTGCTTTCTTGTCGACGTACTTATTCTAAATACGCTCAAACTGACCTTTGTATTTAAAAAAAAACATTCTTGTTTGAGGCAGTGCAACAACGAAACAACTAAAAGCCCGTTTTTGATAGTATTTTCTTTAAACTGTGTAATGCTATAATAAAATTCTTTAAAATTTACTTTACCTGGTCAATATGTTTACTATGCAATCTCGTCCTCCTTTCCAGACGCCATCATCACCTTCTTCCTGGCTAAGTATGGTCTTATTGTGATTGGTAGTTCTTTGGTCCAATGGAACACCCCAGGATATCATGAGTGATGTTGGATTTGGCCTCTCAGAGCGGTAAATTATTATTTAAACTCATTCATTATAGGTGTCGTTACGGCTCAGTATTTGTCACAGTTTAATATTGAGGTTGTTGTTTTGTAAATGGAGAACAGCAATGTAAAAATCATAGATAATTACTAATAAATACTTCAATTTGGAAAATACATTTTATACCTACGTAGCACTAGAATAGATCAAACGACATAAATATAAAAGTGCACAGTAAAACGATATGTCAGATATCATAAATGTTATAAAGAAAATTAGTAAGAGAACTTTCAAACATTTTTTAAATTGATTGGCACATAAGAACTCACTGCAAATTTCCATATATCCTTTATTCTGTCACTATTAAAAATGTGGGTTCTGATAATGTTGACTTTAATAATTAGATTGGAAAATAACAAGGCGCAAATAATTTTATCAGTTGTAGTAATTTCGTACCTCGTGTGGCCCGGCATGGCCAGGTGGTTAGGGTGCTCAGGTCGCAGGTTCGAATTCCCGTCCCACCAAACATACTCGCCCTTTCAGCCGTGGGGCGTTATTATGGAACAGTCAATCTCACTATTTGTTGGTGAAAGAGTAGCCCAAGGATTGGCGATGAATGGTGGTAACTAGCTGCCTTCCCTCTAGTCTTACACTGCTAAATTAGGGACGGCTAGTGCAGATAGCCCTAATGTAGCTTTGCGCGAAATAAAATTAAAAAAAAACAACAAATAATCGTACCTCGTTTATTATGTCTTAATAAACTTTTGTCTTGTTTTTTCATTTTAAGTGATACAAAGTTAAACCTACATTAAATAAAGTTAGTCTGAAATAATGCTCTGCTTCATGCACATATATTACACTGTTTTAGAGAATAGAGTGTGTAACTTCACTATTTATAAATTTGTTTGTTTTATTCTAGTATGTGAAATATTTTTGATGAAGGGTTTATTGTTAGTTTGTATTGAAATCAATATGACACTTCTACAGTGCTTCGATATAGCCCACATTACACAACTTAAAATACTTAATTGCTCAAATATATTTCACTGTACAACTTCACCAACATTTCTCTTTGTGAATTAATAAATACTAATTTATACGCACAAAAAATGCTCGCGCAGTTATAGCTACCTGTTTGAATTAAACTCAGTCAAATACGGCAAATGGGAATTGATGTCACAATATAAAATGTTTCCATTTTTTTTATATTAAGGGAAATTGTTTATTTTATATATCTATGTATTTGTATTGCAAAACTACTGTTTCATCTTCTCACTCAATCGCCCCCCAAAATAAACACAACAAATATTTTAAACTTCTAGTGTATGCTATTTTGCACCAGATTTTGACCCAACCACTAGAGGGTTAACTCTCATTTGACCTATTGCATAGTAATTTCGCCAACCCAAATTGATATATCGAATGCCACTTATGTATTGAATCAGTACGCCGTGACGGTTGTTTGTCATTTATGTTTGAATCAGTTATTTAGAGAATTGAAAACCACTACATTCCCAAACTTTTAGTGGAATTTAAGAGCGACCGATATATGTATAAGCAGCTATAATATCAAATTTAATAATTAAATTGGAATAATTTAATTGTAACAGAATGAATCACGAACTGTAATTATGTAAAATGTAGTCATGCAATAGAAAATAGAGCTGGTGAAAGCTTAGAGTGGTAATAATTTAATCATTCATCTTATTTCTGTCTATCCTTCTTCCTGTTATGGTTATCAGTCAAAAATATTCTTTAATGAAATGACAAGTTCGCTTTTATATGTGTATATAGTTTCTATCAACAATTCATGGGAGTGGCTTGTGAGGGTTGGTATATTGTTACGACAGCGGAAGTCATGTGACGCTAGTAACACGTCATGTCCGTTCTTGAAGCCTCGAGTGTTTACTAGATGTGCGGTATTCTTGTATATAAGACCGCCAAGAAGTTTCGGCAACAAGGTAATTGAATTGCAGACAGAGATAGAGACGGACAATTGAGTCAAGCGCGTGAGTCGTTCGTTGTGAATTGTAGCGTTTGTTATAGCGTGACTGTGGAAATTAAGTGTATCGCAAAGTTGTATTGAGAAAAATATAAACTGGTTTTATTTAAGAAAGGACTTGTGTCGCTAAAGTTTCACCAGAAAGAAATTATACGGGAAATTAACTAACGATCAGAGACGTAACAATATCATCTATAAAAGTTTCATCACTATTAAAGGGGCAGATTCTGAAAAAAAGTTGGATAGAGATAGATTTTGACTTAAACGAAAATGCCTAAGAGAACAGAAAATGTCCGTTTTCATTATGCTTTTGAAATTAAAGATTGTTCTATCTTATTACAAGTTACAGGTTTTACAGTAATGAAGATTATTTTTCGAACAGGCACGTTTCAATAACTGAAGTGATCATTGTTGAGAACACAAATTTTAACAGTATAGAAAGTTTTAGATTGTTGAATGTTGATTTAACTCTAAAAGCTTCTTTTCCGTTAAAACTTGTGTACTTGAGAATGATTGCACCAGTGATTGAAACGTTGTATCTGTTCTAAAAAATAATCTTCATTACTGTAAAAGCTCTAACTTGTAATAAAATAGAACAATCTTTAATTTCATAAGCATAATGAAAACATAATAAAACTTAATAAAATAATATTTAATCAGTAAGCAAACTCAAAACTAAACTAAAGATTGTTCTGTTTGTTCAATAGTTTGCAAAACATCTGGCTTTTATGTTTTATTATGACAGCTTGTTTTTTTTACTTCAGTTTCTACCAGTTTTGCAAATATAAGAGGATCATTTTCTGACTTTTTCTTTGCTTCAAGATTGGTCTTATTCAAAATCATAACAATTTCCATAAAGTAAACTGCAAAATACCAAGGGGAGTACACTTTACCTTATGCTGCAACCCGGTTTATAAACTTTCTAAAAAAATTAGATAAAATTGCAAGTTAATCTATCTTGGAGACCTGATGAACTGTAGTAGAAAAAAGCACCATTTCTTGAAGTTTCTTCAAAGTTGACCCACTGTTTCTGTGATGCAACTATTTTTATTACACTATTACTGATATAATCAGAGGAAAGGTGTTTATTCCTAATGCATTTTGCAGCAGATATGTCATCTTTAACAGCCTGGTTCAGTACTTCATTGTGACATAAAATTTGAATAGGATTTGAAGGAAAAAAATATCATGTTCGGATTATTAGCAGATTTTTAAAGATCAAGTTTTATGTTATATCCATTATGGCAAATTATGAAAGTTTAAGACTCAAACGTGGCTGTAACTTCTCAAAAAAAATCACTAGTTGCTTTTCTAAAAGCTTTCTTATTGCTAAATAGTATCAGTTCTGTTTAATACTATCCAGCACAAGTAAAATGTAAGTATTCATTCCAATGACCAATAGTCTCCAGCACATGCAAAAAAAGATAGTCATCCCAGTTGTTTGATATTCACGACTAATTCATTTAAAATTTAACATGAGAATTATGAGTTAGATAGTTATAAAGCGCTAGTGTTAAATTTAACATTTTTACAAGAGATAATTTATCGCAGGTTCGCTTACGCAATTGTTGGGAATTGACGTCACGTTACTCGAATCTTTGGACGTTTTCTCGTTGCTTAAGTGGGTATCGTTACATCACAACATTTCATGGTTTGCAGAAAATTCTATGCCTCAGTCGGACAATATATATAGGCGACCAAGTTAGTGTAAGTGAAGTTAAGCTGTATGTCAGTTTAGCTGTAACGGGCGATTTCTAAAGTAAGTTTCATAGCTTGTATTGTAATAACAGAGGTAGGGGATAATAATTTATCTCGTCAAAGGGTGTTCTGAGGTAACTGAACTCGCCTGTGTAGACTTTGACGAGAAAGAGACTATTATTTAAAGCTTTGGAGTCTGAGTACATTTTTGTTCTTTCAGAATTCATTAACTTCAGTAAAAACGACCTTTGAGAAACAGGGGTAGAGGAAGCAACTTTTGAATAGTCAGGCAACCCCTAACAGTGCCAGTGCCAGTGCCAGGAGGGTTTGGGAGAATGCCTCTAGGAAAATTAAAAAAATTGTCCCGAGATTGAATTTTGTGTTAATTTTACAATAATTTATTGAAAGTATTAATCATTTGCAAGCAGTTCTTTATGATTCACAAAAATAGGTACTCACTGGCACTTATACTCACCATTGTTATAAGCAAGTACAAGAGTGTACACTTGCAGACACATGTGATTTATTATGCATTGCTATACTGATCCATAAGTACTACTACTATAAGTTCATCTATTTACCTGGAAACAATTTTTGAAGTGTAAGTTAAAATTTAAAAAGTCATACAGTTACTGTGACAAAATGTTGGTCCTGTTGGTCCGACTGTTGCCTGGTCTGCCGGACCTGCTTCGGCGCACATGAGAATGGAGAAGCAGAGTCTTTACAAACACTCGTATGCAACAGTTTCAATGAGTGATGTTACTGCCAAACCATCCTGCAGTTGGGTATTGTCTGAGTGGGATCTGAATGTTCATAAGAGCTACAAACATGTTTGAGATGGCTTGCCCAAAGAAACATCCGCAGGCGTCAATAAAGCCTTCAAATAGAGCAGTAACGATTCAGATGGCGATGTAGAAATCCATTTCTTCCTTAAAAGGAACAGTTGAACACAAAACCAAAATATAACTCTGCACAGAGGGAAGTAAGATCATAATAAAAAAGGCTATCTGTACTAACTATCCCAATTTTTCTGTGTCAGCTAATATCCTGACCAGTAGAAATTTCCTGTTTTTATGAGATGTAACAGTCTGTTACCATTACTTGTTACCATTCTGATAAAAAATAGTTTTTTGAACTGATTAACATTCTGACAAGATAAAAGTTTGTGCATGATGGCTGTTACTATAATGATTAGAAGAAATTTGCTTCTGATATGACATAACTTTGATCAAGGGAAATATATTGCCTGTAATTATTATATTTTTTTGATCACAAGAAATATGGTGTATTGATTACTGTACTGTGATTGGGATGCTATAACTTTTTTGTTGGA